GTTTATTCTTCCAATCCATGTGCATGGAATGTCTTTCCATCTCTTTATGTCGTCGTCGATTTCTTTCAAGAAGGTCTTGTAGTTTTCGTTGTATAGATCTTTCACTTCTTTGGTTAGATTTATCCCAAGGTATTTTATTCTTTTTGTTGCAATCGTGAATGGGATTGAGTTCTTGAGATCTTTTTCTGTTAGTTCGTTGTTAGCATATAGAAATGCTACTGATTTATGTATGTTGATTTTATACCCTGAAACTTTGCTATAGTTGTTGATTGTTTCTAATAGTTTTTGTATGGATTCTTTGGGGTTTTCTATATATAAGATCATGTCGTATGTAAACAGCGAGAGTTTTACTTCTTTGTTGCCTATTTGGATTCCTTTTATTTCTTTTTCCTGCCGAATAGCTCTGGCCAACACCTCCAGGACTATGTTGAATAGAAGTGGTGAAAGTGGGCACCCTTGTCTTTTTCCTGTTCTGAGAAGGATGGGTTTCAGTTTTTGTCCATTGAGTATGATGTTGGCTGTGGGTTTGTCATATATGATCTTTATTATGTTGAGGTACTTTCCTTCTATATCTATTTTATTGAGGGTTTTTATCATAAATGGATGTTGGATCTTGTTGAATGCTCTCTCTGCATCTATTGAGATGATCATGTGGTTTTTGTTTCTCATATTGTTAATGTAGTGAATCACGTTGATTGACTTGGGGATGTTGAACCATCCCTGTGTCCCTGATATAAATCCCACTTGATCATGGTGTATAATCTTTTTGATATATTGCTGTATTCGGTTTGCCAAAATTTTGTTGAGGATTTTTGCATCTATATTCATCAGTGATATTGGCCTGTAGTTTTCCTTCTTTGTGTTGTCCTTGTCAGGTTTGGGGATCAGGGTGATGTTGGCTTCATAGAATGTATTAGGGAGTGCTCCATCTTTCTCTATTTTCTGGAAGACTTTGAGAAGTATAGGTATTAAATCTTCTTTGAATGTTTGGTAGAATTCTCCAGAGAAGTCGTCTGGTCCTGGACTCTTATTTTTGGGGAGGTTTTTGATTACTGTTTCTATTTCTTTACTTGTGATTGGTCTATTCAGATTCTTTATTTCTTCCTGATTCAGTTTGGGTAGGTTGTATGAGTCTAGGAATTTATCTGCTTCTTCTAGGTTGTTCAATTTGTTGGCATATAGTTTTTCATAGTATTCTCTTATGATCCTTTGTATTTCTTTGGTATCTGTTGTGATTTTTCCTCTCTCGTTTCTAATTTTATTTATTTGAGACTTCTCTCTCTTTTTTTTTTTTAGTGAGTCTGGCTAAGGGTTTGTTGATTTTGTTAATTTTTTCGAAGAACCCACTCTTTGTTTCATTTATCCTTTCTACTGTCTTTTTTGTTTCAATATCATTTATTTCTGCTCTAATTCTTATTATTTCCCTCCTTCTACTGACTTTGGGCTTTGTTCTTCTTTTTCTAATTCCATTAGGTGTCATTTGAGGTTGTTTACGTAAGATTTTTCTTGCTTATTGAGGTGAGCCTGTATTGCAATGAATTTTCCTCTTATGACTGCCTTTGCTGCGTCCCAAATAATTTGGTACGGTGTGTTTTCATTTTCATTTGTCTCCCGATAATATTTGATTTCTTCTTTAATTTCTTCAATAATCCATTGTTTGTTCAGTAGCATGTTGTTTAGTCTCCACATTTTTGGCCCTTTCCCAGCTTTATTCTTGTAGTTAATTTCTAGTTTCATAGCATTTGATCAGAAAAGATGCTTGATATTATTTCGACCCTCTTGAACTTATTGATGCTTGCTTTGTTTCCCAAGATATGGTCTATCCTTGAGAATGTTCCATGCGCACTTGAGAAGAATGTGAAACCTGCTGTTTTTGGATGAAGTGTCCTATATATATCTATTAGGTCCATCTGATCTAATTTTTCACTTAATTCTATAATTTCCTTGTTGATTTTCTGTCTGGATGATCTGTCCATTGGTGTTAATGGGGTGTTAAGGTCCCCTACTATTATTGTATTACTGTTGATGTCTCCTTTTAGTTTTATTAAGAGTTTCTTCATGAATTTTGGTGCTCCTGTGTTAGGTGTGTATATATTTATGACTGTTATGTCATCTTGGTGGAGCGTCCCTTTTATCATTATATACTGCCCCTCTTTGTCTTTCTTTATCTGTTTTGCATTGAAGTCTACTTTGTCTGATATAAGTATGGCAACACCTGCTTTCTTTTGTTCATTATTGGCTTGGAGTATTTTCTTCCACCCCTTCACTCTAAGTCTGTGTTTGTCTTTGGGGCTGAGGTGTGTTTCCTGGAAGCAGCATATTGTTGGATCTTGTTGTTTGATCCATCCTGCCACTCTGTGCCTTTTGATTGGAGAGTTCAATCCATTCACGTTCAGTGTGATTATTGAAACGTGGGGGCCTACTGTTGCAATTTTATCACTTGCTTTCCGGTTCTTTTGCATTTTGTCCTGATGGAGAGCTGTTACTTTGTATTATTCCTTCTGCTTATCTCCTTTGTTCTGGATTTTGTAACCCCTTTCCTTTTTTTGATTTTTCAGGAATGAGTTTCTTCCTGAGCAGTTCTTGAAGAGGAGGTTTTGTGGTGATGAATTCTCTTAACTTTTGTTTATCTGGGAAAGTTTTTATTTCTCCATCATATTTGAAGGATATTTTTGCTGGGTAGAGTATTCTTGGCTGCAAGTTTTTATCCTTCAGAGTTTTGAATATTTCATTCCAATCTCTTCTAGCCTGTAAGATCTCTCCTGAGAAATCTGCTGATAGCCTTATGGGGTTTCCTCTGTAAGTTATTTTCTTCTGCCTGGCTGCCCTTAGTATTTTCTCTTTGTCGTTGACTTTTGCTAGTTTCACTATTATATGTTTTGGGGTTGGTCTTCTTGCGTTAATAAAGCTTGGAGATCTATTGGCTTCTGTGACATGAAGTTCCATCTCTCTTCCCAAGTTTGGAAAGTTCTCAGCTATTATTTCTTTGAACAGGCCTTCTGCCCCCTTCTCCTTCTCTTCTCCCTCTGGTATACCTATAATCCTTATGTTGCATCTCCTAATTGAGTCAGATAATTCTCGGAGAGTTTCTTCATTTCTTTTTAGTCTTAATTCTCTCTCCTCCTCTGCCTGCAGCATTTCTATATTCCTATCCTCCAAATTGCTAATTCTGTCCTCCATATTATCGACCCTACTGTTCAGAGAGTCCAGATTTTTCTTAATCTCCTCCATTGTGTTCTTCATCTCCAGTATTTCTAATTGGTTCTTCTTTATGGTGTCAAGCTCTTTTGTGACATAGCTCCTGAACTCATTGAGTTGTCTATCTGAATTCTCTTTTAGGTCGTTGAGTGTTTTTATAACGGCAGTTTTGAAATCATCGTCATTTAGGTTGTAGATTTCATTGTCTTTGGGATTGTTTTCTGGATGCTTATCATTTTCCTTCTGTTCTGGAGATTTAATATATTTTTTCATACTGCTTGATGGTGTGGGTTTGTGCCTCTGCATAGAGATAGAGTTTAGTCTCTGCTTCCACTTGTTGCGACTGGTGTGTGTGGGGGGGCAGCTGTTTAGACTGCCCCAAGCAGGAACCCTGTCAGCTGTTACTGAATGGGTCTGGACCCCTCCTCGTAATCACAGTGGTCCTGTGGGGTTCCTCGTCGGTTGTGGGGGCTATCGCAACGGGGCCTCAGGCTGCTGGTGCCTACTGCTGCAGCCCACCTAGACACGCTCCCTCCTTGTGGTCTGCAGCAGTGTTGTGGGCTTTCCCATCAGCGAGGAGCAGGATCACCTATAATCTCCGATTTGTCCCTAACAGAGTCCATCAGATCACACTTGTCCACTATAAGTCCCAGCAGAGCTATGGGTATCTTCTGCAGTCTGTCATTAGCTCACTTAGCTGTGCTGCTTTCGCCCTAGGGCCTTCCCGCCTTGTGATTGCCAGTTGGGACCTCTCCACTAGTGCTGTGCAGAGGCTTTCACTGAGGCTGCTGTAAGCACCTGGAGGCCCCCCGTGGGCTATGTAGTCGTTTCACTGGAGCTCTATTCTGCCCCACTTTACTCTCATGGGATCTCTGGGAGCCCCTTGCCTCGTCTGGGACACAGCCAGAGTCCGTAGGCCTGGCGGTGGCTTGTAAGCTGCTGCCTTGTGGGGAATTCTGCTCTAGGGAGCTTCATGGTGTTCCGAATGCTGTGCGGGGCCTCCCTGCCAATGGCGAGCAGAGGTCCTCCCAGTGTTGGAGCTCCACCCAGTCCCCAGGCGCGTCCACGGGAAGTCCGGGCAACCCCTGTACCAACCCGTGTCCAGGAGACCATGAGCCCAGCAGCAGCTTGTGACCTGGAGCCACCCTGGGGGATCCGCCCACCGGGAGCTTTCCTTTTTCCTGGATTCTGGGTGTGGCCTCCCTGTTAATGGCGAGCAGAGGCTTTCCCTGCTGGGGAGATGCAGGACCCCGGAGCCTTCCCCACGCCTCAGAGCCAGACACTGGAGCTCCAACCGTGTCCCCAAGCATGTCTACGGGAAGTCCGGGCAACCCCTGCACCGAGCTCCGCGCCAGGGACTGTGAGCCCAGCCGCAGCTTGCAGTCTGGAGCCACCCCAAGGGATCTGCCCACCTGGAGCCTCCCTTTTTCCTGGCTTCTGGGCGTGGCCTCCCTGCTAATGGCGAGCAGAGGCTTTCCCTGCCGGGGAGGTGCAGGACCCTGAAGCCTTCCCCCACGCTGCAGAGCCAGGCTCTGGAGCTCCAAACGTGTCCCCAAGCACTTCTATGGGAAGTCAGGGTGCCCCCTGTACCGAGCCGTGTGCCAGAGACCATGAGCTCAGTGGCAGCTTGCGGTCTGGTGCCGTGCCAGGCCCGCCAGGAGCCTCTCTTTGTTCTGGTTTCTGGGTGGGGCCTCCCTGCTAATGGTGAGTGGAAGCCTTCCCTGCCAGTGGGTGTGGGGCCCTGAGGATTTCCCCCTGGGCCTAGGTGCGATCGCGGGGGGCTTGGGTAGCGGTGTTGTCACCTGTTTCCATCATCGCTCCGCTGGTGAGTACACACTCCTGTCTTTGGTGTCTGGCGATGCTATGGTGGAGTCCGTTGGAAGAGAGCCTCCTGCAGGAACTAGGCTGTCCGGGGGTTGGGGGTCAGGGGTCAGAGAACTTTCATCTATTTCCACCTCCTCCGGGGGGGTGGGGGGGTAAGTCTGTCCGCGTTCCGATGTGTAGTAGCACGAGACTTTTAGAAGTCTTGAGATGCTATCTGGGTATCCTTTATTAATCGGTGAATGTCCAGTTAGTTGTAGATTCGACAGGGGAGAGACAAAGGAGCCCTCTCACTCCGCCATCTTGGTCCTGCCTCTCAGGACCTGTTCTTTTTAAGACAAGTCATAATAAACTTTGACGTAAGAACTGCTTCTCCCATCCCTCCCTTTTCTTGTTCTCTATTGAATTTGCAACCTCTGCTATAAGCAAGTTTTTCAAATGCAAAATGTTGAGCCACAGATGCCTGTGGACAATAAAGAGAGAAAGAAAACAAAGAAGTTAGTAAAATAACAAATCTTCATAAACAAAATAAATTAAATACAGAGATACAAAAGAATGTAATGTAAAATGAAGAAATAAAGTCAACAAAAGTTATTATTCCTAGAAAAAGGTATACTGACTGGTCTAGGAAAACAGTAAGAAAAGTCAATAATAATATCAAAATTAAAAGGAAAATATAAGCATATTTAAAACAGATTTTTAAATCATAAAACAATACATTTTAAACTTAGTTGAATTTTATAATTTCCCTAAAAATATAAAAACACCATAACTGCTATGTAATGAATGTAAAAGCTGACCCAACGATCCTTTAATGAATTGAATAAGTAATGAGTCTGCTGCTCTCAAAGGAAAAATTTCTGTAATACTAAAAAATTAGTCTAGAAAATAGAAAACAGAATTGCTACTCTGCTAATTTAGAAGGCTACTAAAACTTGATAGCTAAACCAGACAAAAACAACACCAGGAATAACATTTACCATTGTAAGAAAAAATGAAGGTGTCTAGGAATAAATTTATGAAATATCTGCAAGACCTTTGTAGATATAATTACAAAATATTGTAAATCATGTCAATGGATTATGAGTCAATATTACAAAGATACCCACTGTTCCTAAATTAATCTACAAATTCAATACAATTCTAGACACAATTCCACATAGAATTTCTTGCAGAATTTGGTAAGTTGATACTGAAATTAATACTGAAGAGAATAGGGGCAAGAATAGCAAAGTTAATTTTGAGAGGCCTTTTAAGAAGCGAGAGTTGTACTAACATGATATTAATGTGGTATAAATCTAGAGTAATTAAAAAAGTGTAGAACTGGCTGTAGGATTAAAATGGATGAATGCAATAGAATTGAGCCTTGAAGAGAATTTAAGTAAACAGGAAAACTCACACACTGTTTATGAGAATGCGAATTTTTACAAACACTTTGTTGAATAAGGTAGGAATCTATAAAAGATGAGGATGTGCATATTGAATGAACAAGAAATTAAAGTTCTGGGTGTAAGTCCTAAATACATACTGGAACTTGTGCACAAGGAGTCACACAAAAAGAGCAATCAGCTGTTTTAATAATAGCAACAGATTGGGTTCTTCTGAAATATCCATTAGTAATAGAATGAATAACTTGTGTTTTATTCATAAATATTACATAACACTTATAATAGAGTTTATCTAGACGTTAGAAATTTTGAAAGCATAGTGTAGAGTGAAAGAATCAAGTTGCAAAAAAATTCATTGACTGTATTACCATTATGTTCAGTACAATAAAAACAAGGTTATACGTTGTTTGTGAAACTATGCATTCAGAGTTGAAATATAAAAACATGGAAGAGAAGATTAAACACCAAATTCAAGAGTATTCTTGCCTTGGAGGATGGAGGTCAGGGAGAAATACTAAAAAGGCTCCATATGTAATAATTTATTTCTATTTAAAAAAAACGTCAAGAGCTGATGTGGCAAATATTTACATTTTTTAGTCTTGGGAGTGGCAATATATTTTTATTCTCCAAATGTTTAGAATATTTATAATAAAAAGCAAATGTATGTTCACAAATTACTCTTCATTCATCCATATATCTACTCATTTCTTCATTCTGCAATTCTACATTTCGTGCCGGGCCTGGTACCAGGAACAAAGGATGAGTGAGAGGCCGTTCCTCCCATCTAGGCAGACTCTTCTAGGTGACTCACAGCACCATAATATTGCAAGGTCACACTCGAGTCCAGGAGAAATATGGAAGTATGTGATTTGCGAGAGGTAATTTAGGTAAGGAAGATGATCTTGGAGACGAAGTTTGAAGAATTTTGACAAGTGAAGATGAAAGAAGAGCATTTACAGCCACAACTGCTTAGATCTCTAATCATCTAAAAGGAAACCACTTTCTGATGCACAGTTTTATTCCTGGACTCTGCCCCACTATGCAGATATATTATCTCATCTCTTATTGGATCCCATATGCCCAGCAGAGTGCTTGGCTCATGGGAACGATTCAATAAATATTCAGTTAGCTGGGGGCAAGCACTTTGTGCTCACTCTTGAAGTGTCTCAGCACCAAGCAACCACAGTTGGAATATTTACCCTGTATAGGAGCTTCAAGAGTGATTCTATAATTTTCTTATCCATCCGTTACGGAGACTGGACAAACGTCAGACCTTCTAAGTCACTCCAAGCTATTTCAAAAGATTATGAATTTCTGCTCACTTCACACTATTTTGCAAAAGTGTGTGGCACACAACATTATCTTGCCTTTCATCTTAATCCAGATAATTCAGACCTATTAAAATATCAAGTCCCTAACCTCTTTCACGGCCTCCAACCTCAGCGGCCCTAAAACTGTGATGCATTTGGAAATCAGAAGTGGACGTACCTGAAACTCTAGGTCTTTAATGGAATTATAGTTCCTAGTTCTATTGACATATTTTAATCAACAATTTCAAAATACCTTGCAGAACATCCGATTAAGTTCCACAAAATCCCCAAAAGGGAAAGGCATATTACTTAGCAAAATCATTTTTATTGAAATGAGACGAAGTCAAGGATCATACATAGATATATATTAGGCAAATATTAGAAATGTTAGGGAAAAAAGTATTCCCAAGCTAGTAAATGGAATATTTTTAATATCAGTCTCATTTCATTCCTTATAAATAAATAAATGAGTGCCTGTTACGTGCTCTCTGGTGTGCTGAAATTTCAGTTTGTAGAGATAATAAGACAAAGATAGGTCCTGAGAGAGACTAGGGTCTAACCAGAGAGACAGAAAAACAGCGTAACAGGATAAGGACACAAGGATAGGAAACACTGCCTCCACCTGGAAACTAGACGAGACAACACTTGCTTGTATTTTGAGGCCTAGAGCCAGAGTCTAAAAGGCCCTGTGAGCCATGAAAAGGATTCAACATTTATCATGAAGACAATCAGAAACATAATGCAGACTTTTGTTTTTATTAAATCACCTAGAGAATAAAGCTTTAGTTGCAACTCTTGCCCCAAATTGGCTACATTATCTGCAGAAATTCAAGCCTTATTGGCTTAGTGGTTTAGTCGTTCAATTGTACTAAAGTTTGGGATAAAGCCTTCTGTCATTGCTGCCTTCTTCTAAAGCAGACTCTTTTTTTTCCCTAACATGTACTGTTTCGTTATTGTTTTCACCACAATTATCAAATTAAAGAGCATTTATTGCATTTCAAAGAAGATTTAAGAATCTCCCGGAAACTCTGTGATGAGAAAATACATCCTTTGTTTCCATAGAAATGCGCTTGTACATGTTGTTTTCCTGGTTTGCTGTATGTGATGTGCAGGATTTCAGAACATTTGGTGTTGACACATGCACCCACAGAGCAGAACAAATGCAGAGTGCTGCCCTCTGTTGAAAAATGCCCAGTACGCAAATCAGTCCTTGAAAGGGAGATCAAAATAAACCAACTATGTCAGTATGAGATGATTTGAAGAGCTAAACAATTGATAGGATCTGTGAAGAAATGATAACTTTCTCAGTTGGAATCAAAAAGAACAATATCAAAGGAAAATATGGCAAATTTAAAGAATTTAAAAAGATAAAACTATGTCAAAGAATACAAAGCTAAAATAGAGTAGCAACCTAAATGGAAAAATGTTTTCTGTATGTATGACAGAGGAACAGATAATTTCTATAACATTAAAAAGCTTATATAAAGCATCAAGATGCCAAAAGATAAATAGGAAGATAATATTGAAGACGCTTCACCAACGTCATAGAAATCGTAATATATGTATGACTAAATGTTAATATTCTCTAACAATTTTAAACTTGAAGTATACTTCTAAAAAATGTTTGTTTACAGTCCACACTGGTGAGGTAGTTATGGAACTGCACAATCTTTTAGGACTGAGCTTCATAAACTGTTAGAAACCTGTTGTAACTCAATATTACAATAAGCTGAAAAAGCCCATGTTTCTACCCATGACACAGTGATGCCATTCCTTGATATTTGATCAAAACAAATAGTTCAAGGGCTCAAGATAAGAAGATATAATCTACGATTTCAAAACACAAAAATAAAATAAATATACATCCTCAGAAAATGTTTCTTAATATTATGGAATATCAAAATGATGAAGTTGTTAAAGATGATGCATACTGTGATTGGATACGTAATGGCTCCCCCCCAAAGATGTCCACATCCTAATCAGTGAGACCTGTGAATATGTTACCTTATGTGGTAGAATGAATTTTGCGTATATAAATGTCACAGACCTTAAGATAGGGAGACCATCTTGCATAATCTAAATGGGCCCTGTCTAATCATATAAGCCTTTAAAATCAGATAACATGATCCAGCTCAAGTGAGAGAGATGGTAGCAGAAGAAGCAAAAGACATACCACAGAAGAAGAAATCAGAGAGAGTCCAAGTGTGAAAAGGATTTGACATGACATTGCTGATTCTAAGAGATAGGGGGCTCCATGCAAGGACCAGAGAGAAGTCTCCAGGAAAGAAGATGGCCCCCTACTGGCCATCAGCCAGGACATGCAGAACTCAGTCCTACAACTACAAGGTGCTGAATTCAGCCAACAATATGAATGAGTTTGGAAGCAAGTTCTTCCACAGAGTCTCCAGTAAGGAATACAGCCCTGTAATCACCTTGATTTTGACCCTTTGAGATCTGTAGCTGAGGAATCAACCCAG